TGTAGTTCCGAGTTAGTTCCGAGCAAGCCTACGAGTGAGTGGGTTATCAACAGTTCTCAAGGCAGCAGCCTGTGAGTCGAGTTGAAATATAGCAGCCGTCGCGGAAAGAAGTACCGGACATGTGTGTAATTGTGTAATTGGGAGTGTGTGATACAGTTGGACTTATATAGCTCCCGTACTGTGTAAACGTGTAGACTACTGAAGACAGAGTGAACTGATTTGCGCATAGGGTTATAAATCGTGAAACCCCACAACAGTGTATACAGATTAATGCGATTAGGGTTATAAAGTGTGAAACCCCACAACTGTGTGATAAGTAATTGTAGCCGTTACTTGTAGGTTGTTAAATAAACCAATTAACAATCCGTACGGCGTCTTCAGTAACGAAACACGGTACAATATGTTCAAAGTTTGTTTTGTTGTGGTATTCCCTGCTTTCATTTTTTATTTAAAATCAGAAATGCTCTAGGAACAAACCCCTTCTCTGAACCAGCATGCACAATTATCCAATGCTAATCACCATTATTCTTCATTACATTGTCTGTCTCACGGCCTTGCCAGCACTTTCGAAGTGTACATATCAGGTAGATCTGTGTCTCATCCAAGTATACAGCAGTTCTCTTCTTCACACCCAGTTCACTGTCATTCTTTATTTTTTTCAAGCAGTTTGCCCTTAAAGCTACATTAATTCTTTTACACTGAGAATAATGTTTTTTTTCTTCATTTTTTTAATTTCTAAATCTTCAACACGCTTGTGTTTCTTGCCATGTGAGTTTACTTTTCTTCCACTAGTGTGTGTCAGGTTAGTTTTTCTTACTTTGCAGACAAGGGCTTCAGATTTTCCAGAAACTGCAATGGCATGTTTTGCTGCATTTTCAGTTGGGTCTTTCAGATTTCCACTTGAATTATCTTATTAATAAAAAAAAACCCAGTATGAGTAATCTAATTACTTGTATATCATGACCTTCTGTGATAATACTTGATTTTGTTTCGATTTTTAACTTAAGCCAACATCAAGAATATCTGCGCTAAGATGCCAATTATGCTGCACTCCAAAAAAAATTATGCACCTACTGTACACTGGAAGGTTCAGGGGTCAGTGTTAAAGTCCTGGTAGGGGTAAGATTTTTCTCCTCTCCATATAATCCCGAATGGTCCTTGGGCCCACCCAGCCTTCGAACCAATGGATACCATGTCCTCTTTCCCTGAGACTAAACAAGTGGGGCATTAACCTGACCACTCATCTCCAATTTCTGACAAGGTCAAGAATATGTGGATATATACATTCATTCCCCCATACATCTTCATGGCACAGTGCTTAATTAGTTTCGTACCGAGATAACTTCGCTGTACTCATAAACACAACATGGAGAGGCAAACTACTGACACATCACAATCAAAGCTTCAATATTTCCCTTCCTCCGGGAAACTATTTAGTCATTTTGCATATATTTTGCATTTAAAGTTAACATAGCTGAGTATTTATTATTAAAATATGATTATTTATACTAATCAAGACTTATGACACAAATATTTTTACTTCGCAGAATGAAGACTGTTATTGTTAGTTGTACTAAAGAAAGAGGCACTAGAACTATGAGACAGAACTCTTAACTCTCAAACTCTGTTACATACCCTATACAATAGTATATAAATGTGTGTACTGAGAGATTTTTCCACTTTGGTTATGGCTGTGCTCCAGACCTAGTATAAAACAACCGTGGAACGTTTCATACAATGTGGACATATCTGCAAGGATGACAGGGAAGTATCATATATGTGCAATTACTGTTCCAATAGAATTTTCAATTCTGCTATAAACACACAACTGCTGTAATCAGGTGAAGCCACCATTTTTATTAATGTTTTCTGACTCTTGTTTAATTACAAACACCAAGGATAATTTTATGTTATTGAATGTGATTAACTTTTACGATATATACAGGTTGTCCCAGGAGTTTGGTGCCATACTTCAGGAGCATACTGAGGGTTCCCTACAGAATAACTTTGAAATAGGAACCCATGTCCACAAACGCAAAATAGCAGAGATAGGGCAGCATTTAAAATCATTTCGTTTAAACTTGGCACCTCAATGTCGAACTGCATTGCATAGAGGAACAGCCATCCACCAGCACTCGCGCCATTGCCAAGATTGTGGGGACATCAAAATCAAGTGTCTGGAGGATCCTGCATGACCAACAACTTTATCCGTATCATCCAACGCCAGTACACGACGTAGGTCCAGCTGACTTCATACCACAAGTTCAATTTTGTCAGTGGATACTGAACCAGTGTTTACATCAGCCCAACCTCCTGAATCATGTGTTCTTCACAGACAAAGCACAGTTTACAAGGGATGGCTGGTTCAGCTGTCAAAACAGCCATGTTTGGGCTGACGAAAACCCCAACGTTACTGTAGTTGGTTACCACCAGGCACAATTTTCTGTCAATGTCTGGGTGGGCATCATTGGCGATCACTTGATGGGGCCTTTCCTCCTACCACCACGATTCAATGGGCCCATTTACAAGGCATTCCTGGAATGTATCCTTCTGACTTTGCTAGAAGACATGCCACTCATTGTGCGGAGGCAAATGTAGATACAGCATGACGGAGCGCCAGCACACTTCAGCATTGTATCATGAGACTATCTGGATGCTGCTTTTCATGGTTGTTGGATAGGAAGAGGAGGCCCAGTGCCTTGGCCACCCTGATCCCCAGACTTGACACCTCTGGACTATTTTGTCTGGAGCCATGTGAAAAGCCTGATCTACGACACGCCTGTGGATAATAAATTCGAGCTGTTGGCCAGAATACTTGTTGCATGTGACATGATCCGTGAGACACCTGGAATATTTGAAATGGTGCACCAAAGTTTCTTTCATCGATGTAATGCATGCATTGAAAATGAGGGCGCCAATTCCAACATCTACTCTAGTAGGTGAGTCTTAAGAGTTTGGAGGGGGTAATATGCCTGTGCATGCTCTTCAACACTGAGGTGCCAAGTTCAAACAAAATTATATTAAATGACACCCTAGCACTGCTATTTTACATTTGCAGACATGGCTTCCTACTTCAAAGTTGTTCTATAGGGAACCCTCTGTATGCTCCTGAAGTATGGCACCAAACACCTGGGACACACGTATACCTACAACAAGCAGCACCCCCCCTATGGCCTATATTATATTTATATGAGGCAGGACACTGCTCTCTTTGGGACTGCTGACAGTTTGATCTTGGTTTTGAAACCAAAACAAACCCAAGCAAGGTCATGTCAGTGGTTCATTCATTAGCTCTGAACAATGAAATCGTTTATTGCAGAACTGATTTCGATACTGTTTACATTTAGATATGACTGTTTATGACCTGGTCAGCCAAATAGAGCCCACCTTTGTTTTGAGAAATGAGGAGTAAATATTCATCTGTGCTTGCAGATCAGTGCTTCCAGAGCTTTCAAGGAAGTGTGAAGTATTCAAAGATTGGTTTTCAGTAGCAAATTATCAGTTAGGAAGTCAGTGTCGGATTGTCATATATTACTTTATCAGTTAAAAAGTCAGTGTCAGACTCATATATTTCTTTATATATCATTTTTATTTTGTGCCTCGGAAGAGGTATAAACCCAATGAACCAGTATTACTTTGTGAGTAAAAGGCATCTTCGCCACTGTGACTTTTGGTATCAGTGTCAGACTGGTACTCTTTTCGACTAGTATTATAACTACCGTATTTACGCATGTATAGGCCGCGTGCGTGTATAGGCCGCAGCACAATTTTCAGACAGAAATTATAGAAAAAATAATTTTCTTGGAATATTATTTCAGGAGTAGAACACCCTGTATTACTAATTATGAATATAATTTTTTTTAAATGAAGTGTGATTTCGAATATTTCAAATATAAGCCGCACCCCAGTTTTCCTCTTGAATTTTTGGCAAAAAATGTGCGGCCTATACATGCGTAAATACGGTACTTTGCATCACTATTTTGCGAGTATTACTAACAGTTGAGTGTCACTTTGTCAATCAACATAATTTATTTGATTTTGCTGGAAACTTCCCTCCCCCAAGATGATTCTTCAATCTCATGAGGCGAATATCACAGTCAGTGGCGTTTCTTGGGGGAGGCAAAGTTCATATGGGGCCCAACTTGGTTGACTGGAGGTGAAACATTCGCAACACTGGCCAACCAAAGGGAAACAAAGATGTGTTGTTGTGTGTGTTCACTAAATTAGAAAAGCAGGAGCATCATTTTCTATTGCAAAAAGTGTGATGTTGCGCTCTCTCTCGCGGATTGCTTCGAGGAGTGGCACATGTGCATCAGAGTGTGAGGTATCCTAAACTGTGAAGTGACGCAGTTCAAACTCGCAGACAGTCTGAACAAAATATTATTATATATAGTGTAATTATATTTACGATATCACGAAGTCTCAAAGTTGAAAAAAAAAACTACAGGTAAGTCCTCTGGACTTTCATAACATAATAAAGATTATATTTTGCATTTCATGACAAAATAATCACAGTTAATTTTCGTTTGTAAAATTTGCTCTTTTGTGTATATGTAGAAAATGTTATTGTCTTTTGGGTTGTTTTTAGTTTGTATTTCTTTGTTGCATAAAACAGAAAATATGTAGTTTTTTCTTAAAGCTTGCAATGTTAAAAGACCTAGGGCGATTTAAATTCTGGCCGCAGATGGCTGCAGGCTATGTAAAAGTCCGTACGTTAAAGGTTAAGTTCTGAGAGAGTCATATTGTTTTTAACTGGGTAGGTGGGGGGGGGGCAAATTTCTCCTCATCTGGGTGGCATTTAGGATTGTGTCAGTCCTATTTAACCAAGGTCTCACTGAATGCTATAAGAATACTTCTAAACTTGCCACAACTTCTTTAACCCTGTATGGTTGGGTGGGTGGGCATATTCCTGGGGTCCCATGTGAATGTCAAGAGTAGTTCACTTGCACTTAAATCTGAATATTCTAAGAACATAAAGAAGTAAAAGAGTCTGTACTCACTTCCATGTTCTGAGAAGCACATAATGCTTCTAGTTCTTCTATTTTCTTCTTTGATGCAGTTAACTCTGAACTTGTATCTGCAGAAGAGACAAGAGAAATATCTTATACTGCAAAACATTCTTCACAGAAGAAATTACAGACCAATTAGTGATAGACATTTAACTGAATGAAAGCAATTAGAAACTAATACTGGCACCAGTGAGTATTTAGGCTCCAGAATCTAAAATACAGTTCCACTACAGGCAAAGCACATTTTAAAGGGATATTTTTACTTAATTCTGTGAAATACGTCTACACAATGATGCTACCATTTGACTGGTTCATGTTGCAAAATCTGTGATATGGAACTCAAGAGGCTCTGACTGTAATTTGTATATCTGAATTTCTATATTTATTGCCAAAATTAAATTACTTGCATCAATGACTGTAACCATTCAAAAACAGAAAAGTCAACATGTAAATAAATGTAGAGAGAGATGATTTTCTGGCCTATGTTCCTGGCATCTCCCTTTACAGAATACAAGAATGCTGTTGATTTTTCTAAAATATGTTGAAAATGACTTCAACTTAAGGAACTTCACTGTCAATGGCTAGTGGCTTTAACATGTGAAATTCAATACCAGCTTTAATTTATTTTTGTCAAAGGGCATAATACACTTAAAAACATATCATCTACACCTGTCATAACAGAGTACTGGCATCCTCCCTTGCAGAAAAAAAGAGGGATGCAACGGGACTACAACCAAATGTTTGAATCATGCTATAAAGCCATTTACCAGCAAAAACGGTATTTCCAATTTCACTCCTACTTTTAACTACAAGTAAGTAATAATGAAGGTGGTTCCTTCATATAATTGTTTTGGTATAATTCTGTATTATAAGAGATGTCTGTAAATGTGCAAATACCTGTTAAAACTCTGTATTTATATTTGTATTGGAAATGAGTGTATCTGATAATGACATGTTCCACATCCTTTGCTTAGGCCTATGAAGGATCTATGGAATGTAAATAAATCCTATTCCATTCTAGTACTGATTCTCAGCTTCATTACACAGTGTCAGCCTACTTCATGTTCAGATGGTTAAGACACCCAACTAAGCTGCCAACCTACCTGACCAACTTCACACATATCCTATGTGATTGTGAGGCCATAGCTTACTTTAGATTTTGTCACCTGGGTCAGTTCTTCATGGAACCAAGTGGCTTTTATGACACCCCCATAAATAAAGTCCTACATTTCATTTGAAGTGTAGGATTAATAAAGGGTTAATCCAAAGGGGAAGCATAACAGATCATTGAAGGTTGTAGTGTGAGGTTCAGATTTTATGGCCCACCCCTTACACACATACACATACACATACCTAACCAACCTCACGTAATATTCTCAGAAGCAAGCATCCTAACCCATATTTTAACTCGTATATATTTATTAGTAACCTCTCTGTATATATTCAATATACATGATTATGATAGTAATTGTGAGATTACTATGAACACAAACAAGGCAGAAACTCATAATGTGGTATTCTGAGTTATGTCACACTGCAGTCTGGTAGCTGGGTGCCAACATGTGGAAGTAATGGTCAGCCTCCAACTACAGGATGCACAATGACAGCATGTTCCTGCAAAACGCTGGCACCCACATACCCAACTACATGGTGTCATAACCCAGATGATCACCCCACTGTGAAAATCTTAAATTTCAAGAGAGTAACTTTTATATTTGTGCTACAATACACCCATCACAATATAAATTCACTACACATTTTCATAAAATTAAGAATTTACTTATGATATTTATCTGAAGAATGCTGCCTTCCTTTTAACGTATAGTGAATGAATGAATGTACAAGGGGTGGGCCCTCTTGGCCCTTGCACTGCGACCACAGTGACCTATTGTGCTTCTTTAACGTATAATACTTTGTGCCATCTATTTGTACAGAGTTTATATTACTAGAATGACAAGTTGTATTTTAAATTTCACAGCACTCCAAGGAAAACACTCCTTGTCACCATATCCATAGCAATCTGCTTTAACTTGTTTCATGTAAACTATGAACTATCATGTCTAACCTATACCACTGAATACAATGTCTATGTAACCCATCTATTCAAAACAAAACAATATGACCGTCTACATCAAACTGAAAGGGCATATTGTGATATCCTAAATATATCGTTATATCATGCGAAAAAGAAAACAGAAGAATTACCATGAATTTCATCTCTTCCCTCAGACAAAACCTCTCTTGTAAAACTCGTAATTTGTCCCTTCAACGACGAAAGACCTTCAAGCCATGCCATTTCGAAATAATATGCATAAAATCTGACACTAATTTTGCACTAACAACATACATAAATTTTGGTACTAATTTTGCACAATTCCGGACTCTTAGAGATAGACGAAAATCAGTTTCTAATTACACATTAAAATATTGACACAAGCCTGCACACTAAGCAGACAAGAAATACGTCACACCCATGTTGTCAGCGCATCAAACCGAAATAAAGAACGAGTTTAATTAAATACGGAAACAACAATCTGTCACATTGACACAATTAATTTGTAACTTTATTTCTTTAATTACGTTGCGTAACAAGTTTGTCGAAATGAAAAAGTGCGTAGCAATCCATCATTTTCATCTATGCACAATATTTCCTTTACAATTCTCCATTCACAAAAAAATCGTCCAATGATGAATTGTTATACAAGATGTCAAACTCTTATGTAAGTAACAACGAGGCAGTGTTCATTCGCAGAATTTGATAAAAATAATATGAATGGTTTAAATTCCCGTACAAAAAAATGACAAAACCGAAGATATTCCAGTTCCGGGCTTACGTTCAATAGAAATTTTAATCACAAACTCAGTCAAAGATGATATTTTCATCGTGTTGTGGTCAGTGGCCCAAACATCTACGGTTCTCTCTTTCACCGAGCGAAAATGGCAGCTCGAGAGACTTGCATAACCTCAATTTTAGAAAACGATATCTCACACTGCTTAAGTTGCACAGTAACAAGAGATAATTTATTTTTTGCACCGTCTCTACCGTCTCTACGGTCTCTACCGTGTTGCTGGTCAACTTCATAGACCGGACGGCAGGGTTCGTAACGTTGTCTCACATACATCGTCAGATGTATTTGCAGCATTTGTTCCCAATTTTTCCAACTGAGATCTATTAAAAGCAATCCATCCTCGGTCTCTGAAGCCTACGCTGTCTTATGGGCTAGAGCATCATCAGGTTTCAGACTACTTGCCAGTGTAACTGCATTCATTTCTGCCCTATTATCTCTTTGATGCTATCATGCAATTGTAAGAGAGATATAAATCTCATGATAATCCTTCTGTTCTTCCTTCTTTTGTAATGTTACTAGCTTTCTTCTGCCTCCAGATTAGTCCTGATGAACTGTGTTACCTTGGCGTAAGAAATCAGTTTATAAACTCTAAGTCTAAAATGGATGGGGTGGCTAGACCACTATGGCACCTGGAAAGTATAAGGGCAATGACACTCATAAGTTGCATACTATACTGATGTAAAATGTAAACAGTATTGATTTCATGGGTGGAATTTGAAACTGAATCATTCCATGCCAAATCAACAAATGCATGATAGGAAGCGAATTTTTTATCTTAACAAAACATGACAGCTTTATAAGCAGCACACAGTTCAGTTCAGCAGCTTTGACATTACATGAATATTGTGCTGAGTGATAAAAAAAAGAGTACCAGCTTAAGCACCTGAACAGTACTTACTGCATGAAGTGACGCTGGTGATTAAATCAGAAATTATTATGTATGTAACATGACCTAAAATTTGGAGAGCTTGAAATATTCTTGATTTCTTCTGAAATAGAATTAAAGATTAAATAACTATTACAGCAGCACTAGGTTTTCAACCATTCTTCCACTCCATGTGTATATTAATAATAGCACATTTCAGAGGTAAATCAGCACAATGGCATCCACTTCAGCAGGTGAACCAACAGCAAATGATTGCCACAGAGTAACATGCACCAGTTAGAGGCTACTGGGATGTTCACAATTTATCAGAAGAAGAGAAAAATTTGCCCTGGCTGTGATTAGGAAAGCCAGAGCATCTGAAAACAAAAAAAAATTCCATCACCACAAATTGTAACACTACAGATACTCATCTGCTTGTGTTTCTTACCAGACATGCATGACAGGTGTGAGGAAGAGTTTGCACACAAAGTACATCATATTTCACCTATACCAGGAGAGTGAGTGTTCAAACTGTTACATAAAAGTTAAACAGAATATCAAAGAATCAGATTATCCTCAGAACAATTCTACAATCACAATGTCCACATAATTGAAAAAGGATATAAATATGCTTCACTCTCTGAAGTGATGAAGAATGCTGTCTTCTGGGATGTGGTGCTGTGTAGATATTTTGCTGCAAAGAAAAGCTACTTACTGCTAAGCCTGGTGCGTGTCAGTATAACGTGAGAAAAGGAAGAGCTTTCTAGAAAACTTGGACATTCTTTTTGAAGTTTAACAGAAGAAAGGTCAGCTGCTTTCAAACGCTGTCCCTACCGGTACTCGAACTTCAACCGCTTGGTCGTGCAGCCCATAACCATTCGCTATACCATCTGGGGATGGTAACTGGATAAAAGGTTAGCACATTCACAAGCATGACACAAAGACAGTGTAAACTGAAGCCATGACTGAGAGTTTCATATTTTGTTAATGTGAAACATAACCAAATATACACCAGTGGAGTCAATCATAACTTAGATGGTTATCAAAGAACAAGTTGATATCTACACTGCACACAGGGGAAACAGTGGTTGCCATCTCACATATTCACTTGGATGTCCTTTCCTCAAATGTTACATAACTAGAAGTTGCACAAGTTCCTTTCAGACATAATTTTACCAAGTATACACTTCACTCTTTGTAAAATTCAAGTTACAATAAAATCCTGTACGTTACTTGGTAGCTTCTTATGTGAATTTCATTATTTCAGTTTCATCCAGGTATCTCCATTAATTTTGGAGATACATTTTGTAACATTTAATGCTTCTGTGACTGACATGACAACAGCCAGCATTGTGTCTGTGGCAGTCTATGTCCTAAAAATCACTAAGATGTAAGACAACATATTTTGTTCTCTCACTTATGTCACACAAACCTATTGTCATACTAGGTATTAAAAAAATAACCCTGCAACAGATTTTTGGTGAAATTTATCAATCTGGCATGGAACATCCAACCTGCAACTGCAAGATTCAGATTTTAATAACTACGACTGCTGTGACTAATGAATTTACTTTTACTTCTGATTATTAAGATTAACATAAGGTACATGACTTGGAGGGTTTACATTTTTCTCATTCTCTTTACATGCATTTTAAGACAGTGGGAGAGTGGACATATGCAAAAGTTAAACTGACTGAGTTGAGTCAGATTATGATGGCTCCTGGAGAATTAAAACAAATGAATTAGATAATCTAATAAAAGGATATGACTGGCAGCCACACGCTATAAAAAAGAGAGGCCAACCTAAGATCAGATGGAAGGATGACGTAAGGGTAGATATAAAGGATTTAGGAATTAATAACTGGACAACTCGCACACAGGACAGAAGTAGCTGGAAAGAAATTGTTGAGCAGGCCAAAGCGTTCAAGAAATGAAGCTGTCGAGCCTTATGAAGAAGAAAAGTTCAGTCAGAAAAATGTTCCATTTGAAAACTACTAGCAGATGTATTCAGCCATTACAATGAGCTTCACACTTCAACTAGAAACATTCAACACTGAACTGAATATGGTCCTTGTATGCCATGTACATCTCCTCCAGTGAAAAGAGTGTTTTCACAAACTAAATGACTATGACTGCCCAAGAATAGCAATCTGAGTGTTTCCATGCTAGTTTCTCTGCTGAAAACTCTGTGTTACAGTTAAATTTGAGGAATACTGTCTCAAATTTTATGTTAAGGTACAAAACAAGAAGCCAGTACTGAAGAAAATATATTCATCAGAGGAAACCCAGTCATATAGGGAGGAGGAGGATAAAGTGACAGATTTGAGTTTTGGTCTTGCTGTTATTTTAAAAAAGAGTTATGATGGTTTTCAGCACATAAATGTGTGCTTCCCTACTCTTCCTCCCTTCTTAGTGAGTTTCTTGGATTTCCTTTTAAAAAACATGGTTAAGAAGTTCCCGGACTGTTATTGTTGTAACTGCCTCCGTGAGAGAAGATGAGAGGGGAGGCCACGGTCACACTTCCACAAGCCTATTGCATCAGTCTGCCATGTAACACTGCGCTGTGCACATGCATTGTCTTTATGTGAGTGCTTTTTTGACTTTGTGTTACGTTTTGTCTGTGATGGATGGCAAAACTGAGCCATGTGTCTGCATCAAGTTTTGCACAGAGCTCAGTAAATATGCTACTAAAACCCCTGAAATGCTTCATGAGGCTCTCGGAGAACATTCTCATTCACGTTTCAACACCGGCAGAGTGTCAGTTGAAGATGATAAATGTTTAGGGGGAGCAAGCACTAACAAAACAGAAAATGTTGAAAAAATTTGAGAACTCATCAATGAAGACCATCGCAGAACAATCCACGAGCTCACAGACACCAATGGGATCAGTTATGGAGTTTACATGGAGATCTTAACAGAAAATTTGAATATGCACCACACTGAAACACAGTTTGCTCCCCGACTCTTGACAAATGATCAAAAGCAGTGGCATGTAAACATGTGTCTTGGGCTATGAGAGAAGGCTAACAAGGACCCAGCATTTATCTCTAGGATCACAATGGGTGACAAAAGTTGGATTTATGGTTATGATCCAGAAATAAAGCAACAATCGTTGCAGTGGAAGAGCCCATAATCACAAAGAGCAAAAGAGGTGCAGCAGGTTTGGAGTTCAACAAAGAGCATGTTCATTTTTTCTTCAGTGTGAAGGGGATTGTTCACTGTGATAACACTACGGTCAATTCTTTACTCATACTGTGATGTTTTGAAATGCTTGTGAGAAAATGTGCAATGAAAAAGACTGGAAATTTGGCGCAACCACAACTGGCTCCTTCATCATGACAACCCACCTGCCCACACATCCCTGAAAACCACAATTTGTGACTAACATGATTATCATTCCCCATCCACCCTACTCACCGGACCTAGCCCAGTGATTTCATTCAGAATCCAGATTGAAAATGAAACTGAGGGGACACCGTTCTGAAACAGTATCTGACATCGAAGGGGAACTGCAAGCAGTACTCAACAGCATTAAGGAAAATGACTTTCACAGTGTTTCTGAAACATGGAAAAATGATAGGATCACTACATACATTCCCAAGGAGACTATTTTGAAGGAGATGGCAGCCAAAACTGAGTAAGTTAAGCCAGCATTCCTTTTTTGACCTGTTCTGGGAACTTACCAATAGCACCTGGTACGAGTACATGAATGATAATCTGTCTGGACATCATAAACCAGAAATTTCAGTAACATTTTTCATCAATCCTATTTTTAAGGCGTTAAATAAAATATATGAAAAATACTGAGATTAATTTCATTTGACACAAAAAAAAAAAAGAGAGAGGGCTGTGATTTATATGGTGGTGTGAATTAAACAACTAAATACTGTAACTGAGCCTCTTTTTGACAGGAGTTTTTGTATTCTCCCTTAATACTTTTCCAACCCTGCTGATGTCTGCTGTAATCCAGTTCCTTTAAAATTACTAATGTGAGATTGAACCTAATAATGTTTCTTAACCTATACATACATACGTTAATCCCTTAATACTACCTGTATTTTGTAGAATTTATGCACTTTTTATTAAAAAATCCAGTATAATAGTTGTGCTGTGTAAAATATGCAAAGTCTAC